AACAAAAATGTAGGTATATTCCTATTTTCATTTTTGTGATAACGGGATTTTAGTGTAAGGAGAAGTAAACATAGGCACCATTAAATCTGCGTTCAGCTTTAAAATTAGTTGCAAACGTTTTAAAAATGATAAAGAAAAATTAAATTCAATAATTTGTTGGATAGCGTTGTTTTAAAACCTCGCTCAATCGATTTGGCATTGTTCTTACCAAATTATCTGTCTAGGAGCATTGTACAAGAGCCAAATTCTAACTATTTCCGCAGTATACTTTGGGTCATTATCTTGTTGGAACCAAAACGTCGAAGATAATCCAAGATTCTCTGCACTTAGTTTCAAATTGTTTTTTAAAATGTTCAAATAACCCCATTTATCCATTGTGGATTCAATAAATTCAAGCTGACCCACACCACCAGCCGCCATGCAACCCCACACCATAATTGCGCCCCCTCCGTGTTTAACTGTACCAACAAGATTTTGCTCTTCAAGGGCAGTTCCTGACTTGCGCCACACAATATGTCGCCCCGTTATCACAAAAATTAAAATAGGAATATACATTTTTGTTTTTGCATTCTGAACTTAAGAATATAAAGAAGAAACACATGTAGAAAATTTGAACTGAATTACCTATTTATATTGTGTTTTTACTTCGTTTAAAAAAATGGTCGGGTGAACAGACTTTATTGGCTATGTGTAAGTGTCGGTCGAAACCTGGAATTAACATGTGCTAAAAAAGCGTAACGGGGCATCTCGACATGAAATGCTAGTGCCCGCTGTTTTATGTTGTGTTGCGTAAACTGCAACTTACCAAAGTAAACGTAAATTTTAACCAAAATACATGGAAAATAAGTATTATTAATAATATACATAAATATCAATGTTCACACTTAATTATTCAATTGATAAATGAACATTATGCAAAAATTATTTAAGTCGTAAATTATGAAATCTTATTTGTCAAAATAATGCATATGTACATACCAATGTTCACACTAAATTGTTCAATTGGTGAATGAACATTATGCAAAAATTATTTAAGTCGTAAAATATGAAATATTATTTGTCAAAATAATACATTTGTCGAATAAAGTAAATTTGTACCATATATACCTACCTAAATGCTATATTCCATCAGGCATATGATAACATTACCTCATCTACTATTTTAACATATGCCACTAGATCCATGAGGCCTTCACTCAAGAGAATTGGAGGATTATTTTCCCTGCTAGGGTTAGGCCGGGCAAAGTTTCTAGAACTTGTATTAACAAATATGCATGTCTCTTTTTTTGCAAATTATATACGGGCTTCTACGTGTTTCTTTTTTTGTGGACTTTTTGTTCTGTGACAATAGCCTACAAAGAGTTTCAGTATAAACTGATAAATTTAGTTCGTCACTGGTGTTCTTGATAATTTATTTTGCAGTAGTGTCAAATATTCGGATCGTCGACAATGGATGTTTGGCGCTTTCGGCCATATGTTCCAGTTGTATTCTTGCAATTTAAGACATATGCTACCGTTTTGGTAAAATATCCTTCCATTTCTTAAATTTCCTCTACGTTTTTCCTAGTTTTAAATTTTTTTTTATGATTTTCCACTTTACCTCTATAGAATGATTTCTTCTATCCACTAGAAAAAATCTAATGATTAAATTTACCATAACTACCCATATTCAAATTGCTGCTAGATTATGGAACTCTACTTACTTGTCTAGTTTTGCGAATTTTTTTAAGTTAAAGATTATTTTAGTAAGGAAATGTCTAACACTCCTATTGTTTTGTGGAAGACAATTTCAAGAGGCTCCGAGACTAGCAAAACGGAACGCGAAGAACAATCACATTAAAATTTTTTTTTATGTTTTAATGTGAATATCCCGTTATGTGTACTGCTATCATCATTCGTCATTTGCATGTGGTCCAGAAACATTATCTACTGTACCCAAATATATTTTTCATATTGACCCTCTTATGATTTTGTGGACAACTGTATATTAAATTATAATAATATGTATCAATATAAATAATAATAAACTATTATTTAATTAATAATAAACTTAAAACCAAGTATAAATAAAAAATAAAATTAATTTAGCCACATTTTTTACTATCCGATTTTTATTTTATCTAATACTTCAAGTGCCGTATTTTTATCTATAGTTTCTACGTTTCTACAATCATCCATATTAAAGTGAACAATTTTCGCGGATAGTTAAAAGGTAAACAATATCCATCATTTCGTCGCAACGTGAACCGAGACATCATTAAGCTTTGTAACAACTCAATTGAAAGTCTATTACGTAACTTATTTTTCACAACATTATAAATTGAAAACACACGTTCCACACTTGTATTTGAAATAGGTGTGTTATACTTCTTATATGTTATACTTCTTAGTAAAAATCTTTATAGTAAAAATCTAAAGTATTTGACTATTGCTTATTACTTTATTGGTGCCATTCAGACTCGGTGTCATTTTTATGACCGTATATATGAGTTCGTTGAATATGACTTAATATCAGAATTCACCTGATATATAGCAACTTTTGGATGTAAATCAGCAAGAACAAAGAAAAATCTTACATCTTTCTTTAACATCCGATAAGTCTCTGGGCGCAAGTTTTTGTGCTATATTTTTGTGTATTAGCTTTATTGTAACGGATTCGGTATACTAAACATACATATTTCGAAAATGTTTGTCGATCCAATTGGAAAATAATAAAAATATGTTGAATTGTCAGAGCCTATAAGGATGAGAGTTGCCCAACATTTTGCTTAGCATTGCTTTACTATGCCTCGATGTGGACGTAACTATAATCTGTAACCAATTTTATGTTTTTCAGTTAAAAAAAAATAATATTTAAAAAAATCTGAAAATACTGCAAAAAATATAACACCTCTAAAAAGACCCAATCGACTCTTTCAACCTTTAAACTTAGGGGAAAACCCCTTGGTAACAATGGATTGCATACTGACCTTATCGTCGCTTTGTTCCACCATATTCATTGTCACGCCCACTAAACGCTATTAATCAAAAACTTATAAGGTGCCATAAGTAATCTCCGCAGTAAGATATAAGACTGTTATTTGGTACACCGAATGGCATTAGGAAAAATTAACCAAATTTGCTCAGAACCAGTTTCTTGTTATCTCTTCTGACAGTGTGGAAATTAATGAAAACCGGGTTATAACCCGATAAATAAATGCTCCATAAATATTAAGTTTTACATCCAAAATGGTATGAGAAGGCTTTATAGCAGCCGATCAAATTCGGTACATAAGATTGTCCTGACATTTTTATATCACAGTGCAGAAATAGACGAAATCTGTAGTCCGATTTCACCACTCCTTCCCAAACAACACAACTTTAAATTCCATCAGTTTCTTTCACTTTTCAGTATACACATCAACCATCAATAAATATATCGAAATAAAACTTTACGAGCATAGTGTATTTTAGGTTTGTCATTTTAAAACCAAAAATTGTCAAAATCGGACTGTAACTATTTAAGTCCCCAGATACCGAAAATGTGGACCCAGTTCCTACTGCGAACATTTTATCGAAAATATCTGTCAATCTGTAAAATATATTATTGAAATTCGGAGATAATAGTTTCCCGATTATAGTATGTCTGTATGTCAAAAATGCGTTGAATTGGATCTATACTTCTCTTAGTCCCCATATACCTAATATAACGATTTTCGAACTTCCAGTGGACTTTATACCATCTATATCGTCCAATATATGAGTTATCTTAATGAAATTAAGAAAGCGTGATTTTTTAATAACAGTATATCTTTGCGTCTAAAATGAATAAAAGCTGGTGAAAACTTGCCCTAGCCCCCATATAACTAATAAAAGGATTTTTAAATATCCGGTTGACTTAACTCCTCTGGTTGGTGATGGTATAGTATGCGAAGTACCTTAATGAAACACAGAGAACATATTTGAGTGTATGCAGAGTGGCATGAATTGTGGCGCGTGAGCATTTTGCTTTACCCACGTAATTTGTGACACATCCCTTTCACGACTAAGACGCTTTCTCTCCTTTTTAATTACATACAAGTGTTACAATTGAGTCATTAGCAAAGCAAAAAAAAAAAGTTACGTAGTTTGTCGCGCAGTGAGCAAAATACCGCACTAAATAAACAATCACCTATCAACACTTTAAAACATGCACTGATTACACCGAATGATTGTGAACAAGTGGAATACAACTTTTCGCGAAGGTACTAAGCGTAACGAGTGATGCAATAACGTTCTATGTTATATGTAATAGAAATTTTTTCGATTATAAAATTGTGTGAGCAAAATCCTCATAGCGCGCCTTCTCTAGGGTAAAGTTGGAGGATTGGGAGCCGTGGAATATGTAATTTCTCATCCGGCTGAAAGCTGGATCTTCCCATCTCCTGAAGGCGGGATCTTAAGGTGCCCCCTGTGATGTCCCCTACAATGTTACTAAGCTCCTTTTTGCCTAGAAGTATGAGCTTTTTAGTTTGTCCATCATCAACACTACCCCAAAGTAACTCCTTATTTGTTTTCTATGAAGATGGGAGGAAGAAGCAATCTAAATTTACTTTACCGAGCTATAATCAAAGTATTGAAATACATACATACATATGTTTGGTTTCTCACAATGATATAATATAATTTTTATTTTTTTAAAAAGTATTTTTAAAAAACATGTCGTTATATCAATAAAACCAAAAAATTATTAAACGAAGAGTACATATAACTGACAACTGTTATATAATATGTTTTTATAAAGATGTGTCGAATTTAGGTGTTATTCATGAATTATAAAACCAGTAACTGAAGTTGACTTACGGAAAAGAAAATATTTATACTAATTAAGTATGTTTAGAAATAATTGTATGTATAAATTCCTCGCTTTTCTTATATGTTTTGAAATCCTGTTTTGAGTTCATTAAATTAATAATAAAAAAATTGCCTATCTACGCGGTGGTTAATATAATACGCGGTAAAATATATAGATACATACATACCTTTACTGGTTTGCTTCCTGTATTGTTGTGACAGTGGACTGGGGTTCCTTTCGGAATTATAACTTTTGCAGGAGTATATAAGCTTTCTGTTCGTTTAGGAGTAGTTGCAGACGGAATAATATCTTGACCTAATGTTCGCTGATATAAAAGAACATCTTCGAAAGGTTGATTGATTGACGGTCTTTTTTCTACCGCATTTAGCATTTGATTTGACATATTATTCATTGCTTTATTAGTAATAGATCTCGGGACATTCTCCAAATTATGTGAACCCTGTCGTTGTCTAATTTCCTTATTAGGCGATGGTATATTTCTTGATTGTGAAGGCATTGATCGGTCAATTGAAGGTTGGCGTGAGCTAATGTGGCTAGCTGCCCGAGCATATCGGTCGGTGGAAGAGTCTCGACTAGGAGGCCTCTTATAGTGATCAAAGTAATCGATAGACAATTGTTGATCAATGTCACTGAGTGGAGGTGGTCTCGTTGGTTTTCTTGATTCTCCTAATATTTCTGTTTTTTGCGGTGACGTTCGATAAAATTGAGAACTTTGATTAGACAATGGCTGGGTGAATGTTTGCGTACTGTTTTGCTGAACAGATTTTTGCTGTTCACTGTAATTTGTTGTTAAGTTATTTTGCAATAAGTTAGTTCTGCGCTCAGAGTTATTGTATATATAGCCATCAAGTTGATCTGAATTGGCATTCAAAATGTAATTGGTTTGATTTTGTCCTGTGATGTCATTTTTCCCCATTCTGTTGCTATATGAGGAAGTGCTATTTTCTTGATTCAAATGACCAACTTGCATCTCATTCTTTCTAATAAAATCACGTTGTTGAACATTTTCTTGATATTGCTTCGATTGTTCTTCTTTGTCTTTGATGTATGAAGGATAAATATGAGCAAAAGAACTGTTACTGGATTGATTTGGTTGATTAACTAAATGAGCAAAATCAGTTTGTGGTGTCACATGTAGTTTTTGTGGGAGTACAGAATTTGATGAAATATCTGATTGCTGCCGAAGCGATACATTCAGATCGGGTTCTTTCATTAAGAATCCACTCTTATCTGGTGATCTACTATTTTCATCATAAGGTAACAAAGTGCTGTTTCCTCTCAAATGGCCTAATTTGTTGTAATTTCGAGAAAAAAGTTTTTGAAATCTTTCTAAAACTGATGGCTTAAAATCAGGAGCGAATTCACGCGCCATACTAACAGCGATTTCACAATCAATGCGGGCTTTATCAGCTGCAATATCGGCATTTTGTGCTCTGTCAGATGCAGTTGAAGTACGTGAAATGGCAATATCAGACCTTTGCATTGCCATTTTTAACGACCTTTGTGCCGAATTAACCGCTATGTTAATGCGGTCTCGGAACTTACGTGATCGCGCAAGAAACAAATGCTTCTTCTTTTGACTGGTCATTAAAATATTGTTCTTGTATTTGCCTTCTTCAAATGATCCGTCTCGGAATGTAGTTACACCGTAGCCATGTTTCTTATTATTATACCACTCTCCTTCGTATCTGTTATTGATTAAAAATTATAACAATAAAATCTTTACTCTATTCAGATATACCATATATAGAATATCATTATAAAAACTTAAAAAGTGAACTGCATTTAGAAAATATATAAATATACACATATATAATAAACTTCATTTTATGTAACAATTTGGATATTTTCATTGAAGAAAGCCCCATTTGAGATTTCTTATTCTTGCCCGATTCGTGATACTACTGCGACTTCTGCTATCTTAATACTACAAGTATAATATTCCTTTATGTCGAGCTTTATGAACTTTGTACATAATTTCTATAATCTCGTAAAAAATAATAATCACAATTCAAAAAATAAAATAAGTAAGTTTCCTGATCTTAAAATAGATGTTTGTAAGTAGGTTCGCAATTTGAACTTCAAAAAGAATAAAAAAGTAACAAAAGAGAAATTGAAAAGAATAATACGTACAATTTAAGGAACTATACATGCGATGTTATAGATCTATTGATTTTCATATCAGTCACATGTATTCGAGGTGTAACCGAAAATTTTATACTCTCGCAATTTGCAAAGACCAAAGCCTGCAAAACTTTATGATAAAACAAGTAAAGAAGAGCTACCCCGGGTCCTAATAGCATCATACCGCCGCAGCTATAGCGTACGGTCAAGGTGTCATACAGCTGGCTGGCCCCCATCTACGCGAATTGCGTTATATTGGGCCATGTCCTGAAGGCCTGGAGACAGGTTAGGGCTATGTGTATTCCGGTAGAAGCTCTCATGTCGGTGTAAAAAATTTCAGATCCATCAGCCTATCCCCGTTTTTGTAGAAAAGGCTGGAGAGACTTATGGATCTGTACATTATGAGCAGAATACCGAAAGGTAAACTGTTACAGGCGCAGGTACCTAAGGGTACCTTAACGTGGTATCCAAGTGGGCGAATAGAAGAGGCCTAGCCGTCAACCCCAGTAAATCCAAAATGGTTTTATTTACTAAGAGGTATGAGATCCCAAACGTGGCCCTCCCCTATTTCCTCCAAATATTGAGGAGAGAGTTAGGAAGGCATCGGTCGCCTTATATTGCTGCAGGGGAGCAACAGGGAAAAGGTGGGGATTCTCACCAAAGGTGATGTTCTGGCTCTACGAAATCGTAGTCAAGCTAATATTGTTCTATGGTGTGTTCGTCTGGTGGAGGGCGCCCGAAAGGGCTACTCTGGCTAAAAAGCTTGAGCGGGTCCAAAGAGCGGCACTCATCGGAATCTCCGGTGCACTGCAAAGCACACCAACGATATATCTTAATGTAATAATTTTAAACATAGCACCTGTGGACATTGCCGGCAGGTGCATTGCTGCGAAGTGTGTTCTAAGGCACAGGGAATCTGGGCTTATAAAGAGGTCCGATCAAGGACACGCCACAATTCTCTACTCCTTCAGCTGAATTCCTCAAAATTTGGATCACTGCGTCACAGCGGCCACTCGAGGCGGCTTTTTCTCTGCTCATATCCCGACGAGGGAGATGTGGATGGGAAGAAGCCGCTGGAGAATAGGCGCGGTGAGCTTTTTCACGGAGGAGTCGAAGTTAGGAGGGAAAGTTGGAGGGGGGTTTTCGGTAAAGAGCTCTCCGTCAATCTTTGCTTCAGGCTACCGGACCACTTTAGTGTTTGTCAGGCGGAAGTGGCTGCGATAAAGGTGGCGGTAAAAGTACTGTTACGAATTCATTCACTCCGACAGCAGAGCGGCAACACTAGCCCTGAGTGCGCGAAACCGTGCAATCAAAGCTAGTCAAGGAGTGTTTGCCTTCACTAGAATTAGTATCTAACTACTTCAATATCAGACTCGTTTGGGTACCTGGTCGCAGCGGAATCGCTGGCAACTGCAAAGCCGATTAGACACACACATCACTTCGGAATGGGATCGAGTTGGATCTTCACTAATGTCTTGCGTTCTGGCTCTGGACCAATGGACCTCGCATGCACTGGATGGATCGCAGGAGGTCAGGGGATCTTCTCGCCTTGAACAAAGTTCATCTCACCGCTATGGTAGGAGTTCTCCCTGGGCACTGTCCAATGGGAACTCATGCCGTACAGTGAATCAAGCTTTTGTGTTGGACTTTTTGCGAGGACGAGTTTTATACATTAATTTATAGTAAAATATAATATTATTCGATGTTAATATGAACTATTAGTTTATACTTACTTAAGACCATCACTACGTTCAGCAACACCATGTCCACAGCGCTTGTCTTTCTTCCATTCCCCCATATATGTTTCAGTCACTGCAGAATCTAGTTGTTCATCCTCCATTGTAAAGCTAGCATTAGAATCTGTGTGAGCCGACCTTAAGAATAATAACAAATATTTTAGAGTTAATTTTAGCAAAAGTAGACTATTCTACCTTGTAGTTAAGTTAGATTGTTCTGATCCGGTGCTTGCCCATGATGAGGTTGACGCTGTTGACCTTACGCTGCTTGATGTTAAGGTGCCACGTTTCTCCAAATCTCCTGTACTTTTTTGCTTTCGCATTTTAAACCCCTAGAAAATATTTATTTATATTACTAATGATAACATTTTCATTCATCAAATGTCGTCTTACAGATAAAAATCCTTTTTTTGACTTTTCTGTCAAACTGTTGCGTCGTGCAGGCAGTTTATCCGATCTTGCAGTTAACACGAAACCCCCTCTTATTTCTTCAGACCGACCTTTGTCGACTTCTCCAATATCTGAACTGCGTAACGAGTTTAAGGACGTGTGAATATCTTTCCGTCGATAATGTGATGCTAATCCGAAGGGAGCTGAAGTCCGAATACCATATCCGTGACGTTTTCCCTCTTGCCATTGCCCCTGATATTTTCCTTTAAATCAATTCATTTTTATATAAACAATTTGTAGAGCAATTTGAACAGACCAAAATGTAATTATATAATAGTTTTGTTCTTCTAACGGTTGTATGTAACACCCAAAAGCAATCATATCGTTATATATATCGAAGTAAGCGGAATAACGAAACGAGTTGAGTTCCACATGTCTATACTTGAGTAAAAATTTAAATAACTTGATAAATCTTGATACAAAAATTCTTTGACAGTACTGTACATATGGACACGATCGAACCAAAACAACACACCCCCCCCAAAAATGTAGTTAATGTAAAATTATAAAATGCTATAACTTACCAAAAATTTAGCTACAACAGTGAAATTTTTTGCAGATGATCAGAGTGCGTTCATAAAATTTAAAAAATTAGCTTGGCCTCGACCCATAATAGGTATGTTATTACGTACATACCTCAGAAAATAGAAAAGATGTATCTGAACCAAATTTGGCGGAAATAAAATTGGATTATATTGAAACCTAACACAAGTGCGTTAACTCGATGCGGAAGCACGTAATGCATAAAAATATTAGCAAAGATGGTACGGATGGCTGCATGTGAATCTATATAAATAATATACAAAAGGTGTGGTACCGCCCATTTTTGGGAGAAATCTTTTATAAAAATTGCGTGCATAACATTGTACCCGACACTGTGATGTCCGACTTTCCAGCTATCTTTGAACCCGTTATAGTGATTTCCAACTTTCGCACTTTAAACTGTGAACATCTTTTCTTAATTATAATGTGGCTTGGCGCTGAAAATGAATGATATTGGTAAACACCTAATATACCTAATATAATGACTTCCGATTCTCTTTAACTTCCTTAGTTAATTAATTTGATTTAAAAATAGTAAATATCTTGGAAACTAAGCATAATGTAGTAATGAAACTAAATGAGTTTTTAACAAATCATAAGGTAATAAGTTAGTATCGCATTATTATATGATTGGAATCTAGTTACGTATTCCTAGAATAATGAATGTTGAATTCTTACGTAATATTTGTATACTCTCACAACATGTTGCTACATAGTATAATAGTTTTGTTCACTATACTGTTGTTTGTAGCACCTATAACTAATCGAATTGCGATTTATACAATATATAAGTTATCAGGATGACGAGACGACTTGAGTTATGAGTAACTGTTTGTACATTCGTCCGTGCAAGCTGGAACTTCATAATGTATTAGATATGGTGATTTCGGCCTTCCACCTAACTTTAAACCACTTATTCGGTCAATATGTGCGATGTTTTAAAGAAGTTGAACTGAATATAAATGAAATTATTTTGGACCTAGCTCTAAGTACACGAATTTCCAATGTTTAGAACTTAGGTAGAGTGTATGTCACATACTGTATCTTATTTGAGGTTGATATTATGAAATGTGTAATGAATTAAGTGACTCTACTACTTTTAGCATAAGTATGTTCCATTCATAATTTGGTAGAATAATTTTTTGCAGTATAAAATATTTGCCAATACCTAATAATACCTATACCTCTGGCTTGGATCCTTGAAATTTGTAAGATATAAAATGTTCGGATACACCCTTCCTTACTTTTTTCTCTTGTTATGATGCCGTTAGAGACAAATTCTTATTGCGAAATAGAATAAGGCAAATTAAAAATATAATTCCTCATAAAAAATTTAAGTTGTAAAATTCTATGTTTTTTATTATATTTTCATATGTCAGGTGAGGAAAAGATTAGAAAGGTCCAGTGAAACAAAGTGATTATAAGAAAGTGAATTACTAATTTTTTATTGTTTTTTCGTTTAATTACATTGGCAAATTTTACTATTTAGATAGCTACAATGATGGCTGCACTAAAATCAACAATCTAGACCAATTATTTTCGCATATAATTTCTAAATTGACTGGTACATATATTAAATATATATTTATAAACAAATAAAACGTTATTAATATACCTACTTATTTTAACAGATTTAGTTGAAAAACAAGAAAAAACGTTAACTTCAGTTGCACTGAAACTATAATACCCTTTACATATACAAAAGGTTCCTTAGAAGTGCTTGATTCCTATCGTTCAGTTTGTATGACAGCTTTATGCTATAGTGATTCGATCAAAACAATTTCTTCGAAGATTCCATTATTGCCTTGGATAATGATCAGTTCCAAATTTCGGGAAAATATCTCGTCAAATGACTAAGTTTTCCACGCAAGTACTTGAATCCGATCGTTCAGTTTGTATGAAAAATTTCTTCTGAGATTCCATTATTGCCTCAAATAACGATCCGTTCCAAATTTCGTGAAGATAATAGACTCCGTATGTTTTAAAATTAATAGTTTTACTATTCTCGTCATGTTCCGTAGAAGTTTCTCTTACTTATCCCCCCTCATGCTTTCAGTATACTGCTTTTGGTAACGTCTCTCAAATTTCATGATATCTTGATGGAAGCGTTCTCATTGTTCTTTTAAATAAGCTCTCATATTATCTTACAATTTATTTAAATGATAATAGCTGTCTTTGATTCGCCATTTCCCAGCTCGCTGCTGTTTTCTTGACAAAAAAATGACATGTAAAAACAACAACAAAGTTATCGGATACCTCATTAAAGTAGTATAGCCACTATCTTCAGTGCTACCAAGTTTTGTTTTGCATCTTTTTGATCAGTTTACTATTGCGAATGGTTTAAATGACAAATGTATTTTTTCCTTGTGTTTTTAAAACTTAAGACTTAAAAGCAATAATTTATGGAAAACAAAAATAAAGGGTTACAGCAACGTTTTTTAACGCGAAAAAAAGAATTTCTCCATTAAGAAAACATCATAACACTATTGCGCATGCATCAGGAGACATGCTATCGCAGGGTTGCACGACAAGAGTTGCACGTTTGGTTGAGCATCTGGTATATTTTGTTCGATTCGCTGGGGAGTACCGCTTGGCGAATCGGAGACAGCTAATGGAATATGCACAACTTTTGACACATTCTATATTCGAAGGTATGGAAATTCGTAACCATTTAACAATGCACTATTGCCTTAAAACTGTTTCAGGCTTTTTTCTCCTCATCGCTAAGTAACTGTTGAAAAACACATAATCTAAACTTTTTTTTATTCCTACAAAGATTTCAGCTTTTATTTTCGCCTCTGAAATCTGTAAAAAAAAAAATTCTTCAAATATTTGAAAGCTTTGGATTCATGATTAAATGCCATTACAAATTGTTTATATAATATATACCTAATTTAGAATTGCTTCTCATTTAATATTGAATTTTCCCACTTCGTAATTGGTACGTACAGGCCAATGTTTATGGCGGTAGTAAGAATCATCATTCCTACTATCCGATATCAAAAATAACAGGAGTATTTCGTATAGTTGTATGAAAAGGAATACCAATTTCTTTATATAAACCTTTAAGGTTTTAATTACGATAATAATAATTCTGCTTTATTTTATGCTTATTAAATAATTGAAATCTTTAGAGCTGATGAGACGTGGTACTTTTGGTTTAGATTTCAGAACGAATTCCGAATGAATGCGAAAACCGACATTATATGGGTGCGGGTTTAATCGCTCTAACTGCTTAAAAAGCAAAAATTTCGATTTGTTATTGTCCTTTCATCATATTTGTTTATGGTACATAACCAGAAATGTCTGGAAAGATAAGTATAGATCTAGACAATATGTTAAGTTTGATAAATGTGTATTTGAGACTAGTTTCTTTGGTCTTCAAGACAAGGTATACCTATAAATTGATGGCACAAGCATGTGGAGCAATTTTAGCCCAGCCCTAGATAGCGTTTTAACGCATTATATTATCAAAAAATTGTTGGAAAATGTATCATTCAAAATTGATTTTATCAAACCAATTTACGATGGAGGTGGAATGTGAACGAAGCATTGCGTTTCTTGGCACGATGGCGATAAGAATGGAGGATGTTTGGACTACTAAAATATTATAATTATAAATATAATGATCCCATAATAAAAAAGGTATCAGTGATACTGACACTACTAAAAAGAGTGATCAACCTAAGCATTGAAACCTTCCACATTGAGAACGAAAAAATAAATCAAAGTGTCAAAAAGAATAAGAATATATGAAATAAATTCTACTTCTTCAAATTTCCATTCGTAAAATCGCTTAGTTTAAACATATAAAAATGTTTAGGAGGGCGGAGAGTAGGCTAACTATTCACAAGACTCCTAGCCCCAATATACCCGATAGAGTGATTGCCGACTTTCCACCTTGCTTAAACTGTCTGTATCGTTAAATATGCGTGATATTTTACTGAAATTAATTGGATAAATTTATTTTAAAATAATGTTGTTTAGTGCTGAATAATCACTTGTATTGTTATTTTGATCCTCTGTTCCTCATCATTTGTTTTATTCATATACTCCATTTATTAAGCCCCTTTGGTTGATTTTTTGTCACATACATATGTGTGGTGTATGTATACTATCATTTCAGTTAATTAAATTGATTTTACCATAAACATCTTGGACATGAAGCAAAATGTAGTAGTGAAACTAAATGAGTATATCAAAATATGATTGTATCCCTTCACGCTTTTATCGAATAATGAATGCTAAATCCTTTCGCAACACTTATAAGTATACAGATTTGTCAACAGCTGACAATATTTCACCGCCTTTGAGCCACATAATTGTGAGAGTATAAAATGTTCACTTACGACCGAACTTAGCCATTCCTTAATTATTATATTTTTTTAAGTTTTTTATATTCCTCTTTAAGTTTCTTAGTTCCACTACTTATTATTTATTGCTTGAATTGACCGTAACCTATGTTATATATATAATTATGCTAACAAAACAGTTTGTGTTCCCTTTTGTTGCCATTGACATATATGGATAAAATTTATTCCGTTGGAAAGGAGAAGACGAGCAGAAGTGCTCAACGTTATTATTATTTTTATTGTACGTCAACGGAAACACAGATTGAAAAGATTTCAAAATGGAGCATCAGTTTGAGACTTCATCGGTATTTCATTCAAGCAATTCTTCATTATTTTGCCATCTTTTCGCATTTGTATACGTAGCCACATATGACGACAAACTCAAATTGGCCGATTTAATTCGATTGTTCATTCATGGAAGAATTAGGCCAAGACCAGGAACAGAACAAATGATTTTGCAGGAGAATGAATTATAAATTGTAATTTTTTTAAATTAATTTTTGGAAATTGTTTTCAACAACTTCGATTCTGTTCACATTTTATGCAAAAATTTAAATACTATTAACATTGTAAATAAATTGTAATTTCTATTGGTCGAAATAATTTGACATAGTCAAATCGCATTTAAATAGCAAATGGTTAACGTCTATATACGAGTACAGCAGTCATATTTTTCTAAAACATTGTGATTATCAGAAATTGGGTAAACATCAACTAAAAAAGGAGTAATATTAAATCTTCTGATTTTTTTAAATTTTTTATTTAGTTCTAAAAAAAGTTAACAAAAAATCGTAAAAACCAAAATAAAGATATGTATGTGGCAGGGATACTTTAGAATACACAAAGTTATATTGTATATTATGGTATATACGATATTTGTAAATCTGTTGAGGAGTTGTGTAACGATTACACTGGTCTGCAAGGGTTTTTCTACCCTAGATATAAGATCGATTTTAGATATATTTGGGCCTACAGTCTATGAAATTATAAATGGTTTTGTAATATTTCCTCTCGTTTATTTTTAAATTTTCTTTTTACAATACAAAACTCAAACAACGAAAAACCAAATAACATATTTATTTATTATGCCAGTTTGTGAAAAAGTAAGGATACATGAAAACATGTGTTAAAATTCAATGTTTTATTGAATTAAAAGGCGTTCTGCCTTTTATGAGATTTTCTTCTACAATTTTTTCCTGGTGTCAATATCTTGTTAAGAATCAGCAGTTATCTGCCATTGGCTCTTGCCAATAATAATACAAAAATCCTTCTCCAAAAATCGTAAGCTATGTGACACGCTATTACTTGCCAATTAGTGCATACGCACTTAACATAACATACAAGTATAGCAAAACTGTCTGAAGAAAGTCGAAGAATCGACAAATCTCTTACTATAGTTCCTAATAGTTGCCTAAATTTTCATAATTATAAAACAATTCAAAAATAGAGTTAGGGAATCACCATACCCCAATCTAATACAGTGAAGACCTAGACTTACAAAAAGCACCTAGACTTACGAAAATCAAAGGTCGCACTTCTCTCATCTATCTAAGCGCTCCTCATATGGGTGGTTTATGCGAATAAGCTATAAAAAGCTTCAAATCCTACTTCAAAAAAGTAAATGGATATTACAAATATTAATATATCGAATTTCTACACTTCGAAATAAAACCGTTCTCAATTGACGGTCAATCACTGTACGCTCGCAAGATCACTTTAATTTCACAGCCCTAACTTCCGGACATGTTTTCAAGGGAGCAACCATTGTGGCCATATCTGAGATAGGCGTGGAGTCGCTAGCCTCAATAAGCCGATAATAAAGTAATTGCAAACAATTGCCGATAACACAGAAAGGGCAAATAATAAACAGTCCACACAATAAACCAATAAAAGAAATAACCGCAAATACGATAAGTACAAAAAACAACTACAAATTCAATATGCATATCTTTTGCACGCAGATCGAATTGTTACCAAATATGTTTTCTGCACATACAGGTAAATATGGATATAACTCCATCACCATGTATGCCGCGCCCTCGGCTACTCAACGCCGAAATACATGCAATATAAGCATAACGTGTAATACCAGGCAAAATATTCGTCTATGGGGCCAATGATGTTTAAATGAGATAAGCCTCCCCTACATATACATACACACCAATCTACTCGGGAAAAACTGGGGCACGTGAGAACAACATGCACGAACGCACATCCCACGGCATCCCATCCCACTTCTATACGAAAGCGATTAAGCGCGCTACAATTCGTTTCGTCAGCGATCCTCTGACCTTCAACTTAATTTAAATAAGTGTTAAATTTATAATGTTTTGTAATAAAAAACAAGTAAGGAAGGGCTAAGTTCGGATATAACCGAACATTTTATACTCTCGCAAAGTCAAATGGCATACTCGTTTGAAATTTCTTTGTGGATTGACTGATATTTTCGATAGAAGCTCAACTATAGGCACTGGGGTCCACATTTTTAGTACTTAGGGGCTTGAACAGTTTTGGTTCGATTTAGACAATTTTTAGTCACAAGGTGGCATACTTTAAACGTATTATTCACGCAAAGTTTTACCCCGATATAATCATTGCTACTTGATATGCCGAGTAGAAAGTGAAAGAATCATGTGGAATTGAAAATGGTGGTATATGGGAAATAGGCGTGGTTGTAGTCCGATTTCGACCATTTTTGCACTATGACGGTGGTGCCACGCCCACTGTCTAATTATGAACGCGGTTCCTAAAAAGTCATCCCATACCATTCCAGAGATAAAATTTAATGTCTCTAGCGTGTTTAGTGCTTGATTTATCGCGCTTTTAGTAGTTTTTAACAGTAACGTTATATAGGGAGCGGAGTTGCCACCCGATTTGAACTATTTTCACACTGTAGGTAAAGGTTCTAAAAACATTTGCTTCTAGTGAATTTTGTTATTATATCATTAGCGGTTTAGGAGATATGCACATTAAGCCTATTAGGGGCGGGACCACACCCACTTTAAAAAAAATATTTAACTGCAGATACCCCTCCCTAATATGATTATGTGTACCAAATAACAGTCTTGTATCTTATTGCCATCTGCAATACCAACCGTCTCACGGTACCAAGAAACATGTCTATCAAGTTTCATAAAGATATCTCAATTTTTACTCAAATTAGAGCTTGCACGGACGGACGGACAGACAGTCACCCAGATTTCAACTCGTTTCTTCATACTGATCATTTATATAATATATACATAACCCTATATCTAACTCGATTAGTTTTAGGTGATGCAAACAACCGTTAGGTGAACAAAACTATTATACTCTGTAGCAACAGGTTGCAAGAGTATAATAAATTGCCACTTATTTCGTATCAGAAGGAAATCTGCTTTTCATTTTTAACATTAACCGTGAGTGTAAGTGCTTACCTATTTGTTCAGCCATCATACACCGATCTCAACAACCTTAATATCATTCTTCCATCACTTTTAGATCCGGGTTGAACCGTTCTCTCTGTCCCTCACTATAACTTCCAAATTATCCGAAAATGTATCCAGATGATTATGGAGATAGTCAATTTTGTTCCTGGAGTCTGACAGTTTGCCAGGATATTTGCACAATTTCTTCATAATTTGGTGCTTAATGATTAACTAGGAAATTTTCGACTATCAACACAAAACTTTTTCACGGATCATTTTCCAGTACAGTCATACCTTTGATAAATATTGTATTTTTCATCAAAAGAAAAGTTCCCTCTTTTGATCCTTGCAAGCTGCAAGAGTATAAAGTTAGTCTTGCTTGTTTTCTGGTAATAATAGTGGGAATGCTAAAATAGATAAATGGTCAATACTACCCTATCTCCCATAACCCTACCATAAGGTTTTCAAACTTCCGGTTTTTATACATCATATATATAGTCAATATGTACGATATCTTAGCAATATTAACTCAACATATAATATTGATGTACTATAGTATAAGGCCAATATGTGCATTTAGCCTCAGAATTACCCCTACCGATACGTATATATATATATCGTAATGTACATAAACTTTCGTTATTCTCACAATCATATGCCGCATATGCCGGTCGGGTACGGAGTTATTATTTATAAAATTGCTTGAAAGTATGTTCTCGATTTTCCAGCTGACTTTAAACCATTAAGTTGGTCAAAAGTGTGTGATATTTATTGAATTTAAGTGAACAAGTTTTCTTAAAAGTTACAAAATTATTAATGGATACTTTTGTCTTATTCTCATATATCTAATATAATGATTCCGTTGACGGTTTCTAAATCAACTCAATGTATTTAATTAAGCCTCCGTTGAGTTTATATCACATATAACGTTTGAAGATGATTTAATATAATTTTGGATGATACGAAGTAAAAAACTAAATCTATAACCTATATTGTAACTTAATAAAATACAAAATATTGTAATCATTCACGATTTCGTCGAATAATGAATGTTGAATTCTTTCACAACATTTCACACAAAGTTTTGCCATCGCCTAAAGAATATGCCCGGCTTTGATGTTGCAAGTTCAAGAGTATAAATGTTCGGTACAGCCGAACTTAACTCTCCTTACTTGTTCTTATTTAAAATATGCTTATAATGCAAATTATTAAAAGAGTTAAAATGATTAAGGTCGAGTATAACATTCTAAACACCGCAAAGGACAAAGTAGGAAGTATTTTCAGGTGTTGCAAAGCTGTGATTACAAAATGTTGCGTAAGAACTCAATATTCCTATTCAAGAAAGCGAATGGATTTCAAATCATAGACTTAGTTTGATTACAACATTTTCCTGGACTAAATATTTATATTAATACAAGCAAATGAGCTTAAATAAGGTATATGGGTAAACTCAACTAAAGGGGCTAAACTAGAGGATCAGAAATCAATATATTAGGGTAGTGGTTAGGCAAGAAAACAGCCACATTCATATTTCAACGCTAAACCACATTATTTAAAGGAAACTTGTTGAATTGATTTCCTTAATTATCTCGCACATATGTATGTATAAAACGTTAATGTCAGATGGAGTTGCCTTGATCGCATTAACGTTTGGCACTACTCATGATACTCGATAACATGTTTTCACGCAATTCCACAATGACAGACAAATCGGCATTAAACTGTAGTACGCCCAGTTTTCACTTTATTGTGCAGCAACCTCACAGATTGACCAATATACATAAAGTCTATAAGGGTATAAAGTCAACCGAAAGTTCGAAAATATGTGTATACCAGATCCATACAGATCGGGAAACCGAATGTTATTGATCCGTATTATCAGTTTTGACACAAGGGCATGTTGTAATCAGAAAAGATTCCCCAGTATTTCAAAATATATAAATGAATCAACCGATATTTCTTGTAAAAGTCGGTCATGGTCACTGGCTCCACGTATTCGGTATATGGCACTTCGAAAAGTTGTAATCCGATTTCGACAATACTTAAACTTGAGATGGAATACGTTAAGCACAATTTTGTATCTTGTAACATGAAAGAATCAGATAGAATTTAAATTGGTTATATATGAAGTTGGTATGGTTGTTGTCCGATTTCACCCATTTTACACTTCAAGATATAGATGAGAGTTATGTTATGCAACATAACATAGGTACATCGATTGAAATTGGTAGAGTAGTTGTTGAGGTATAGAGTTTCACCTAAGGTGGGCGGTGGAAATGTGCTCGAGAGTTTAAATGTACATGAAAGAAGGGCCACATTATGGACTAGAAAAATACATGCTACGTTGTAACCCACATGTTAAAGCATCTGGTCCAACGCTACATAACATATCCCCCAACTAGTTTTTACTCCACTTTACTTACTTACTCTAGACCACATATAATTCTCAGTGGGCCACTTTTGACCATCAATTGATACTTGAATACAGACTTGCCATTCTGGTATTTTTAATAAAATCGATGGTGTATATTGTAATTGCGTTTTACTAATTACACAATATTTATATAAATTAAAAAAATTAATTGGCGCCTTATTAAATTAAGTATATCATTAATTTCTATAAATGTTAATATTATAGGAATATATGATCAAAAGAGAGTTGGTATTTTATTTTATTTACGAAACGTTCCGAAATATTTCATTCTTTCTCAAACTATCTTCAATAACATAGCTCTACAAAATATATTTTATTTGTTGCCCTGAAAATCTGATGCTTCAGTGTCGCAGATTACGACCTTATTCATGAAAATATTGAATGTGCTCTTGTTAAAGATAATGCATATTTAAAATTTGATATTATCATTTTTAGTAATAAACTTTAGTTTTCCAGTCATGATTAGTGTTCGGCACACTTTTTTCGTGCATACAAATGTCACGTGATCTTAGTTCTCTTAGGTAATTACAGTTTACAAAATGTCCTGTTCTACTCAATGAAAATAAAAAAAAGAATAAAGCAATTTGTCAAAGCATTTTACGTATGGGGATATTGTTTTGATTACATTTATAAACATTTCTGAAACTTAGTATGGAAAAGTTGAGAAGTGAAAAATTTTATGGTCTTTAAATATTGCAATTAATGAAAAATACAATATTTATCAAAGGTATGACTGTACTGGAAAATGAGTTTACAAAATGTCCTGTTCTACTCAATGAAAATAAAAAAAAGAATAAAGCAATTTGTCAAAGCATTTTACGTATGGGATATTGTTTTGATTACATTATAAACATTTCTGAAACTTAGTATGGAAAGTTGAGAAGTGAAAATTTATGGTCTTTAAATATGGCAAATTAAGAAAT